TCTTTCTTTCTTTCTTTCTTTCTTTCTTTCTTTCTTTCTTTCTTTCTTTCTTTCTCCCCAGTTCTTAAACTTGGTTGGAATGGGGCTCCAAATCATAATACCTTGCACAATTTTAAGTCTATTTGTATTTCTATTTGTTATCAAGGACATTCTAAAGTCAGGCAGAATCCCAGCAACATGGAGGTTCTATTTTTCCAGAAACCGTCTGGCTGCATTGTAGCACCTTTGTTGGCTCTAGATGAGGTTGTATCTCTTCTGAAAGGACAGGTGTGGAATCTGGGGTTGTCCTGGTCTCATAGCTTCTGTGAATCATCACTTAGAATCTATGCTCAGGAGAGCCATTATCCAGCCTCTGCTCATAAGTCAGATGCACCCTTCTTGAAGCAAGATGCCTCCGCAACAGTAACTCATGTCCTTATGATGAAGATTTGAACATTTTAATGAGTTTTAAGTGGTTAACTATGGAGGATGTTTTTATGAGTACTTTTCATGTATTCTTTTATGAAGTTGTGAACTGCCCAGAATCCTGAACGGATGGAGTGGCATATATATTTCATTATAAATGCATAACATACATACTTATTGCCTCTATGTTATAAGAATTAAATGAAGATAGTACAAATGAACTCTCTCAGACAGTTAATTTCACACTCACTGGAGAAAGTACAAGTGCCTCCCTCTACTATAATAAAAGTATAGAGGGAGAGAGAGGAGATGGAGAAAGAGACTGAATCACACCTCACCCGTATTGATAGGAGGTGGGGGGGAAGATTCTCAAATAATTCCTAGTGATTTCAGAGAAGGACCATTACCACATAATTTATTGAAAGTTTTATCATGCAAATATTTTCTGAGAAATTTCAGCACAGTTCTCTGGTAACATAATTTCAAATTAAACGTAACCTAAGATGTAGGTTACCTAGGAGCCAGTTTGGTATCTGGCTAGAAACTGGAAGATTGTGAGTTCTAGCCCCACCTTAGGCACAAAGCCAGCTGGGTGACCTTGGGCCAGTCACTCTCTCCCAGCCCTAGGAAGGAGGCAATGGAAAGCCACTTCTGAAATCTTGCCAAGAAAACTGCAGGGACATGTCCAGGCAATCACCAGGAGTCAACAGTGACTTGAAGGGACCAAAAAAAAAAAGATATATCAAGTTTTCACAAGCATACCTCAAAGCTTACACATTTCAATACATGTTTTCACTTTACTTTGAAGGAAATATTTAAAGCAAATGTACGAAAACTGAAATCTGAGGTTATATTTATGTTAACATGAAGAGTCTCTCACTGGGCCTCAGAATCAGTGTGAAAATACTCTATATACATCCCACTCATGATGGGAATAAAGGTATTGTTTAATGGCATACTAGATAGTATAAGCTGAGCAGAAAGGAAGAGGTTTATATTTTGTAATTTAACATATAAACTGTTTAATGTGACTGAAAGATGGTAGGGTGGTAAAAGGAAAGTTAAACATACCCAGTGAAAACTTCAGGCTTTTTACATACATCATGGCTGATGGCAGGAAATGGAATTTCAACAGCTTACTTCAAATTCTTCCCCACCCTATAGAGGTAACTTTTCTAGATCTCTAAAATGTTTATATATGTACTCCTGGTGGTTGTTAAAGTCAGTAGAAGTTCTCTCTTTATACTGAACCCCCAATTGTAAAATATTGCTCCAGAAGGTTCCTCACATAATTCCTAAGGACCCAACAGTTATGAAAACAACATTTGTCAGTAATACTTAGCAACCTGGCTGCTTTGTTGTAGGGTTATATAGCATATTCCTATGACTTCATGAGAAAAGAAATTATCAAGTTCTTCACACATTTCCCCCTCCCACCAAAAAATCAAAGCAAATATAAAGTGATTAGATTTATTCCATTTTGGGGGGGGGGGGTAAGAGACTCAAATCCAGTGGCATTAACTCTTCACTACCTCATGTTCAATTTGATCAAAAGGGTAAGTAAGATGTACATGGTGAGTTAAGGATTCACTCTGCCCCCTCCTTTTTTTTTTTTTTTTTAATTTTTTTGGTGGTTACTCTGCCTGTTCTGGATCCAACGCCTATGATCTTTTTGGATCAGAGAAATTTTGCTTTGGCAACTTTCTCACTGCAGATATTCTACCATCCTTGTAGGGGAGAAGCCTTTCCTGGCTTTTCAATGGACTTGCTAATGCATGATTCCCCACATTATCCAACAACTCCTGTTCATGCAACATAAACAGTCACAGGCAATTGGGCAAAGTGTTTGAGAATGTCAACCCATGAACGCACACAAACACAGGTGGATAAAACCCTGTATCAGGAAGTAGAAAATATCAGATACTTTTCTGCATTTCATTTTTTTTCTTTTTTCTTTTAATAAAGAAAGAGTTGTTTGTTTGAACAGTGGAAGTTCCAAAGGAAGGTTAACTCAGTAATTAAAGGACTTTCCATTCAATTATTTGATTACTCAAATTATGAAATGGGTGGAATGATGCATTATCTCTAAGCTGCAGTGTTTGTAGGAATCTGGATGACAATAGGAAGAAAGTGTGTGCAATCTGAAGTAGGTATGGGCAAACAGGATGAATCTAGAGTGGATATGCATTTCTCTGAGACTTCCTTGCAAATTAAATGACTTGTGGTATGGCAGGGGACAATGAAGTAACAGAAGCAGGCACAAACTAGAAGACTGCAGAAAATTAGTTGTTTTTCAGTGCAATCCGGTTGAGGTCTCCTTAGAAATAGGTTTCACTGATTTAAGTTGGACTTCACCTAACTATGTGAACCAGATAATGATATAATGTTCCAATAGAACATTCTAATAGAGGATGTTCAAGGAAGACAGGTAGTAAACATATTAATATGCTTATCTGTTCAGCTTATCATTCTTGTTCATCTCTTTGAAGGATGTGGGAGCAGAGTTTTCAAAGAGAAAACTACAGTTTCCAGACAGAAAGCTACCAAAATAAACTGCCTATCCTACTGGACTGGATAGGATAGGCATGCTCCAGGTGCCTTCCCTGAAATCTTGCCATCTAGTGGGACCTCGGAAGCACACCTTTTCTGTGGCTGCCCCTACCTTATAGAAACCTTTACCCCAGTGATTTGGTAGGCCTCCACCCTTTTAGACTTTTGGAAGGCCATCAAGACCTGGCTTGTTGCCCAGGTGCTGGGGTAGAATGAGGTTTTTTGGAGTTGGTTGCGAGGCATCCCAAGAGGATGATTGAGATGTTGGGTTTTGTTTGGTTTAATGGTTTTATGTTTTATACTTTGGGGTTTTATTGTGGTTGTGAGCTGCTCAGAGTGTTGTTTTAAGATGGGTGGCCAAACAGATCTTATAAACAAACAAACAAACTAGAGCAAATAGGTAGGATGAAAAGCTGAATAGACAACTTCCTGAAATTTCTCTAGGGGAAGGTGAAATTCGCCAGGAACTTATCAAGTGCAGGTTTTTTCTTTAACAGTGCCAGCAGCATTACTATTCTGGGGGGTGGGGAGGGGGGGAGAGAAACAAAGTTCAGATTTCCCTCCTGATGTTTTCCTTTAGGAATTATTGAATTATACGAAAATTGCAACCTACCTAGCAGACCCCTGGAGATATAATACAATAAAAGAAAGGTTATTTACTCACATAGCTCTTAGCTACTAAATAATTCCAAAACAACCACTAAAATGCTCTAATACACAGAAAGAAAATTTTAAAGTTACATCTCTTTTGTCTTTACGTGGCGAAGATGCATGTATATTTATTTGCACTACAACAATCAGGATATATTAAAGGAGAGGAGTCCTCTGCTTTAGTCTGAAAATCAGCATTAGTCCAGTTCCACCTGTGAGTCCTGGAAAAATCAGAAGTGCAGCTGAGCAACTGGGAACAAGTCGTCGTTTCTGAGCATACCATTTTCAGTAAGTTCATAATGATCTTCCAAGCTTTTGAAATTAATCATTTTGATTCAATGTGCAGACAATTTTTATTTTATACAGTTAATGTTGTCTCAGCCAATTTCAGCCAATTTCAGACATAAGGAAGTATCACAGAGGCATAGCACATATTTAACCCAGAATGTATGTAACATTTACATGCTATATAAAAGCATTATTGTAAGATCCAAGCAACCTAATAGCCTCATTCCAAAGTTAGAGGTGAAATGGATTCTTTTATTAGAATGCATCTTCCCAGTGTAGGGGGGAAAAAATTGTATGGTCTGAAGCTGCAGCTTTCATAGTGCCATGAAAATTCAATATATTGATGCTTTTAAGATTTTTCTTTCTTTTAAGTCAATTTTGAATCACGGGGCTACATGGACAAGTTTATGTAGTTTTCTTGGCAACGTTTTTCAAAAGTGGTTTGCTGTTGCCCTCTTCCCTGGGCTGAGAGAGAAGATCGCCTAGTTGGCTTCTGTGTCCAAGGCAGCATTAGAACACAGATTTCCTTGTTCTTAGTCCAGCACCTTAATCACTAGACTGAACAGGCTTCATGTAGGACTAGAAATACCAAAATTCAGGACTCCATGATAAATCCTTGGATTATTCTGAATACCCTGTGCAATATATACATACATATATACAGATACAGATACAGATACAGATACAGATACAGATACAGATATATATACACACACACACACACACACACACACACACACATACATACACACATACATACACATACATGCATACATACATGTATACCTACCTACACACACACACACACACACACACATATACGCACATCCACACATATATATAGGTTCTGCAGGGACCCTGAGAATAGCCCACTCCACCCTAGTTGCTGAGGAGCACTCTGGTCTAAATCCATACAATTTTATTGACATTTTATGGAAGTGTTATGCAGATAATCTTCACAGATTAAGGCTAGGTCTGCATTACATGTATCTGGATTATTCTCTCCTATGCTGTGTAAAAGATTTCTGAATTAAATTGCTTTGATTAATTAATGAAATTAATATTACTCTCCTTAGTAAAAAGCTCTTCAAATAAAGGAGAAGGGAGAAAGTCTCCATTTGGTTATTGAAGGAGTATAATAATCCTATCAATTATTATTGGTAATTGGGCATTAGGATTCTCATATTAATAATCCTAATACCCAAAAATTCTGATAAACCAAAGACCATAGGATAGATGGATATAACATACATACATACATACATACATACATATATATATATATATATATATATAATATTTTTCTGATGTCATCCTGTTAGTTTCCATACTGTTGCTTTAAAAGAACATAAAGATCTCTAAAAACAAATGGAAACAAATTTAAATAGGAAATGGAAACAAAATAATTTCTACTCAAAAAAGATTCTGTATGCCATATGCCCCATCAAATAAACAGATGTTCTGTTTTAAGCACCATTCTCCAGCTATTATCTGAATCTCAGTTTCAGTTTCCTGAATGACATTTATCCAATAGAGAGGATTCATATGTTGAATGAAGGATAATTTTTTTCAGTGTTAGAAACATGGCATTAGAGGCCAAAATAATCATCAGTGGATGTCCATATATCAGACATTGCAATTCCAGGTGTTCTTTTACTTCCTAACTATCTCATTTGTTATATTCTTATATTCCTCATGCTAGAGGCACTGCATTTAATTTTTTAAAGAAAAAATAAAATAAAAAAAAAGTTGGCAGAGGATAAGGTATATAAGAACAGTTATTTCCAGAGGTTGGATATGGTAATTAATATGAGATCAATGGGGGATGATAATCTCTGAGATTGATTTGGCTGGGCTGTATGTACTTAATGGGTGAGATCTAGGATAGAATACTTGATGAGGTCCACTTTCTTTCTCCACTACTAGGGAAGACTTCTCTTTTCTGATGGGATAATTTCTTTCTCAAATATTTTCCACACCACCAGTTGCTAATCACTTCTTATATTTAGTGATCCTTTTTTGTGATGTGACAAACAATCTAGCAAAGGTGTGCCCCCTCCCTCATGGCCTTCAGGAAAG